TTGTGTTTGCTTTTGAGAATTGCTTAAGGTGAACCTGCTTTTCCTAGCATCTAAAAATATTTGCATCATTCAAGCCCCGGTCTTATTGTTTATTATTTTCATTATATTTATTTGGAACTTTTAATTTAATTCACACCTTTTTTATTTCAGAATTTTCTTTTTTTGATCCTAATGATACATCATGTCAGGAAATTCTCTTTGATCCCAAAACTTCTGTATCCGAATTATTTGCCATTTTAAGACAGTGGGTTCCTCAAGTCCAGCAAAACATCGACATTATTGGGAATGAGGTAAGGGATTTCTTACATTTTAAGTCTTGCATCGTTGGGGTTGTTAATCATAGAGATTCTCCCCTACTCCCCTACCCGCCCCGCCACCATGTGAATGGAAAGATGATGTTAAAGGGAAAACCTTTTAAAGATTCTGATGTATGTTCTTTGTATTTCCAGGTTTTTCATGGAGCAGTGAGTTAGTACTGTACATTTTTTCCATTATTCCTTCAGGCTTCATGCTTTCTTATACCTGGAGTTATATAACAGTGTAGACTCTTGGTGGGAGCAGGCGTTTTTCGTATTTTCTTTCTTTGTACAAATTTTTGTGAGCTTTAAAAAATTTTCTCACGAGAGTATTTGATTATCATCATGTTTTATCTATACGTTTGGATGGTTTGGTAAAAATCTAGGCTTAAATATAATTTTTAAAAATTTGATATTTTTGAAGGCAGCATTAAAGAATAACTGGGTTCCTTGACCAACATATTTTCATATTGTAGGAAGAGAGAGCTTATACTTTTTTCAAATACCGTGACGTCCATTAGAAAGAAAAGTTACTTATTCTTTGAGAGGTGAAGGAACATATTTGGAGTGCCAGATTACTTTGAAAACGCTTTAAGTATTTTTTTCGGTCTGGTGACAAGTTCAGTTTCATTATTGTTGGGTGCAGATTTAAAATTTATCCTCCAAAGAAGCCAGTTCTATTTACACATTTTGTTGAGAACGAATTCAGATAAGATAAACTTGGTTCCCTAGCATTGGTTTGAAATCAGTTGACTTCAGCAGTTGTAATCATGTCTTCCTTGGTTTCATCAGATTCTTAAGAGAGGCTGCCATGTGAATGACAGAGATGGATTGACAGATATGACTCTTTTACATTACACTTGCAAATCTGGAGCTCATGGTATTGGTAAGTATGTGGTAAATCTATTAATTGCTTAGAACATCTGTATTCGTGCTGGTACAAGCTATGTTTATGCCAGCCAGAATCTCTGGGAGGGCATAGCTGATGACAGCATTCCCCGAAGAGGTGAAGATTCAGTTATATTCTTCCAGAAACCTTGTTCTCATCCCTCCCTTTTCTCAAGGCGGTCTTTATAGCCTCATGGCACCTCCCAGCCTTTCGGGAACAGGTTTCATGCCTGCATGCTCGCTAGGTGAGACTAACTGGCAACATCTGGAACCTTCCTGACAGTCTACGGCAAGGTTTGACAATCCAAGCTCAGTTTTCCAGGTGTCCCAGTCCACACAGGCCTGTCTAAGGTCTATTTCTACATACATATGTTCATATTTTCCAAAATTGGTATTCTCCTGAGCTTTATTTACCATTGCATAAACCTACCCCTCTTTTTGTGAACGTCTCTCCCTGTTTCAAGGCTGTGATACAGTGCTTCTAAAAGTATTGATGGCGAAGGACATTTTTTTTTTCCTTTTCCTCCTTCCTTCCCTCCCTCGCTCCCTCTCTCCCTGCCTCGCTTTCTTTTTTTTCTTTCACAACCAATCATGGACTGATACTTTTGTAAAATAAAAAAAAAAGAATTTATAATTGAAAAATGAAATAAAAACAAATTAAATACAAACCCAAATATTTTTCAAAAGGCATAAAATTACATTTAAATTAATATATTCAGAAGAAATGATTACATAGGGAAAACAAGTTATAAAAAGTACAAGTAAATTACAGTTGTTACTGGCAGTGGTCCACAGAGCACTCTCTGATTAGCACTAGTCTAATACACTATTTTTAACGGCTTTATAGTATTCCATTATATGGATGTCTCGTAATTTATTTAATTTCTTATTCTTGTACATTTAAGGTGTTTCAAAATTTCATTCATAATAAAGAGTGCTGTGATAAACATCTTTATAGCTAAGTGTTTATCCATATCCCTGAGGACGATTATTTTCTTAGAAAAATTCCTCGTAAGTGAAATTTTTGAGGCATAAGTGTTTATTCTGTATGTTGTTTACTTTGGCTTTTTAAATGAGGTAGTAGATAACCATTCATTGGAACTTAAATTTGTACTGAAGAAAAATAATTTAGAAAACCTTTCTTAGGTGATGTTGATACAGCTGTAAAATTTGCAACTCAACTTATTGATCTGGGAGCAGATGTTAGTTTGCGGAGTCGCTGGACAAATATGAATGCTTTGCATTATGCTGCTTATTTTGATGTTCCTGAGCTTGTAAGAGTGATTTTGAAGACATCTAAACCAAAAGGCAAGTACTATAAGATGATCATTAGATATTGCTGTTGGATATTAGTGGCATAAAAATGATGATTCAAAGAGATTTTTTCTTCTAATCCATCTTGTTTCATAAAACCTATTTCATTTTTTTCAGAGATAGTTTAGAATTCCTATATTGAATGTTAATAACTATCCTTTCACACAAAGGCTTAGTACAAAGATATACAAAATAAAAAGTGTTCTATGGGTTTTTGTATCTCTGCAAATTCCCGAGTATAACATGCATTTTATAAAGTATAATTGAATCTTCGTGCTATATAACTCTTTGTCTTGAGTAGCCAGAAATAGAGCAATAAAGCCTTCAAAACTAAGAATTGATATAATAAAGAATATTTTTTTAGGTGCATTCATTTCTGAAATTCTGTGATTCTGTGAAAAGAGAGGGTTTTTTTAAAAAAAATTATTATCTTCCTATTTTGTTGCTATCTTAAAATTGAACATCAGAATATCTAAATTACAGACCTAGTATTTTGACTTTATCTCTGGTCCTCTTTGTAGTGGGTCAGTTTTCTTTTGAGAAAAAATGAGAGCAGGTGCAGCAGTTTTAACTTTAAGTTACAGGTGGTGTACAGTATTTTCTCCGTTTGTAGATGATTTGTCTTAGAAAATCAATGGACAAATTCCCAGTATGTTTGTTTCTAACTTCAGGTTTGTATAACTGTCCATTTTCTAAATTTGACCTTTTCACTTTTTGAATGATGTTAGGAAGAAGGCCTCTCTTGATAGTACAGTGTCTTTATTAAACCCTTAATAAATATTAAACCCTTGTTATTGAAAACATTCAAAATGAGATTCCTGGATCTGGAGGATTTCCTGTGTATAGCATCATGATAATTTATTGAAAGTTATTGAAATATCCTTAGAATTGCAAGATTCCTTTTCTTATTATGAAGTCCAAGTTAATTTATCGATTAAATAAATTATGAATGAGTACAATATGTAAGCATTTATATTTTCAATTAGTCTTTAATTTCTTCCTGGTTTGAAAATTCTGCAGATTTACCTACCTTTTTTTTTTTTTTTTGGTAAAGGGCCAGATAGTAAACATTTTAGGTTTTTTTATGGTCTCTGTTGCAACTGTTTAGTTCTGCAGCTGTGGCATGAAAGAAGTAACCATAGAGAATATATAAATGAATGTGTGTGACTGTTTTCCAATAAAACTTTATTAACAAAAACAGTTGGTGAGCTGGATTTGGCCCACGGACCATTGTTTTCTGATCCCTTACCTAAGCCCTATTACCTCATTGTAGTCGGCATGGCATATATGCAAGAGGTTTAGTGAGAGATTGTGTTAAGATAGTTACTTCTATCAATAATAATTACTGCCATTAATTGCTTTTAAGTATAGTTTTGTTTGTGATAGTTGGGAAACCCATGATAACATCAGTCCATTTTATAATGAAATTTTATCATACTAAGAAAATAATTGGTTAACCATACTGTAGTATGAAAATTTTGTTACATTGTGAAATGGTGCTTCTAGTGGGTTGATTGAAATCTCATAAATGGCTAATAAAACTCTTCCCCCAACCCTGGTCTGTCTCCTTTTACATTATAACTAAATTTAAAATTTTAGTTAATACATTTGTGATGTTTAATTGTAGATGTGGATGCCACTTGCAGTGACTTTAATTTTGGAACAGCTCTGCATATTGCTGCATATAACTTGTGTGCAGGTACTGTGAAATGCTTATTGGAGCTTGGAGCAAATCCTGCATTTAGGGTAAGAGGTTAAATTAAAAGCGAAAAATATGAAAATAATTAAAATGTCTAATATCTCCCTGTAAAGAGTTGAAACTAGATGTTATTATAGAACTCTTTTATAAGCAAATAATTTATATTTTTGTGTCCCATGTAAAGAGTAATGATGATAAACTATCTCAAATAAATTTAAGGCATAGCAATGAATTTCAGTCCCCTTATATTAATAAGCTCTACGAAATTTACTTTCATTCAGCAAAGTAAAATGCTCCTTAAAGTGTAATCATCTTTGAGTTTACGTATCTTTCATTTAGGCTTTCACTATATATTTATAAATAAAAGTTAACTGTTAAATACAAGTCCATATATTTAAGTTATATTTTTGTATTAAATTACATTTTAAATTCTTTTGGGAAGATATTTTATTCCAGACAGTTTTTTAAAATGCTCATTTAAGAGTGGAGTAAACTTTGAAAAATCAAATTAGAGGAAAAATTTGTTTTTTCATGGTAATGTTACTGATTTACAGAGTTAACATACAGGATGAATTTCATAATCTTTAAATCCTTTGGTATTTTGGTGTCTTCACAAAAGTGGCGCTTAATGATCTTTTCCTTTATATTAAAAACAGTGACTTGTCATGTCAGGGAATCTTTTTTTTTTTTTT